AGTTTTATTAAAAAAAGGACTTGTGTCGCTTAAGTTTCGTCGGAACGAAGTTACGGAAAGTTAATTAACAAACGGAGACGTAACACAGTGTTTAATTTCTGTTAGATCCCTCCAATCTCTGCTTGGGATTGTTTATTATTATTATTATTATAAAGGTGAAAACACTATAATGAATTTTTAGATTGCCTTGATTACATTGCCAATTGTTCTTTGACTGATGTAGTCAACAACAACATTACTCCTTCCCCCTGAGTTTCAAATGTTAGCCTCAATTACGTTTAAACTGCCATATTTCACCCCCCCCCCCATTTCCCTTCAGAAATCCAGTATTTTTGGTACTAGAAATAAAATACTGGTCATAGCTTACTTTCAATCACTTAGATTTTAAATTTGCCGAGTTTTCTTTAAGGTTGTAAACAGGTTAGTTTTTGTTTTCCGTAAAAAATAATCTTCGAGCTGTTGTTATTGATATTTTCCTTTGTTTTATATGATTTTTATGTTGTTCTTTTTCTCTAAAGTCCTCTTCCCCCCTCTTTGGCTCAGCTGTGAGTTTGAAGGTTTATAACACTAAAAGACGGGTTTCCACTTTCCAATTTTTCCATACTCTTTGGTGAGTATAGCATAAGTGACAGATTGTGTAGCTTTGTGCTCAACAGCACGCAAAAAAATAATAATCCTCAATGCTGACCTGAGAACAACAAACAACTAATCTCATATTATAATATTTTATTGTCAAATAACATGCCAAAAATATAGCGAATGATTATGGGTAGGTGTAAATAATGTGGATAAACTTATTAAGCATGATTTTTTTTTTATTTACTCGTACTGTTATTGTTGTGTCGTAAGTTTTGAAATTTATAGTTTATCACCATCGGTACATGTGCTGAAGTAACATTACAAACTATATAAGAAAAAAAAAAAAAACACGCAGAATGCTCTTTTTCTTGTGACTTCACGGTGAATGCCCACACACCTGCCCTTCCGCAGCTAGCGCAACTAACCACGTCTTTGTTAGCCAGATCTGTATCGTAACGTGATGTTTTAGTATTTCGTAGTTAAAATTTGTTAGAAAGGATACTGATGTCATTGATTCCTATATTTTTCTTTTAAGCTTAAGCTTGTTGAAGGTACGTTAAATTTTATAAAGTTTTATTTTCAGCTGTGACCAAGTTAAATAGATTTTCTTAAATGGGTCTTGGTAAGTTGGTTAGGATTCTAACTTTGGGGTGTATTAATAAATCAATGGAAAAAAGTGCGTTGTTTGTTAGTTTTCAAGAAGCTTGGAGTTAATGGAGTTTTTACAACTGATAAATTGTCAAAGTTAAGTTTGCTTTTGTGAGAAATTAATAGTAATACCAGTAGTAAAAGGAACAATGTCAGTGCATTAGTGCACATTGAAATATATAATTATAAACTTAATAAGGCTTTAAACTTTAAAGTATGGCTCAAATTCGAAGTTCGAAATCTATTTAACTTTAGTCTTTAGAGCTTACTATTTAGTGTCAAAGTTATACTTGCAGTTGCAAGGTTATTCATGTCTTGAGTGCTACTACTGCTAGGTTCCAGTGAAACTTTTTTGTGACTGCTGTGTAAATCATACTAAACTCAAAAGTAAATGTTATACTGCAGATTAACACTAACAGTAACAGATTTAAGTTTAACGGTTAAATAACAATAGAGGCTATTAGAGCTAAGGAAATAAGCCTAAGTCAGGTATAGGTGAATGTATGAAGTAAATCTGAACCTTAGAAAGTTTGAATTTGAGTGCTGAAGAGGTTGGGGAAGGAAATTATATTGGTTATATTTAGGTATTTTCAAGTTAACTGTATAATGTATTTAACTTAAAGTATATGCGTGGAGAACCCACTGAAAATTAGGACTGGAATTTGCTTATTCAAGTTATTGGTTTAAGTTCTGAATCATGTGAATGTTATGGAGAAGATAGTTTAATAACTTTTTTTTTTCCCAATGAGCATATTGTGTCAGTAATGACAAAGTTGAAGCTGTTAAGCATTATTATGGGCTATTCTTTAGCTGTAAGGAGTAGCTTTTTAGTTGTTTTTTTTTTTTTTGCATTAGGAAAGGGGAAGAAAGTTTGAGCATAAGAGCTAAAATTGTATGAGAATGAACAGAGATGTGTGCAGATGATTGGGGTAGTTTTGTTTTTTGTTTTTTGCTTTCTCAAGCAGGTTGGGAAGTGTTTCGGAAAACTTTTAATAAATGAATACAAGACTGTAGTAAGCTTACATAGAAGTTAGACAAACTCTGTGGCCATCAATAGAATTGTAGTTGTCTGCTTGAAACTCCAGTCGAGTCCTGGTAAAAACATCAGTCTTGGAAATCTAATTTGAGCCAAGAGTCTCTGGTTCAAGCCCTGCTTAATACAGTATTTTTTTTTTTATTCCTGGTAGGTTATACTTATCAAACAGAACTTTAAACAAATTAATTCTAAGTGTAGGTAAGTTTGCTTATTTCATAAGATAAACCATTTCAAAAGTTTATAGCAAACAAAATTCTTGCAGAGTGCACCTACATTTAGGACTATATGGTTTAAACTGTTTACCCTGATATTTCCTATTTCTTCATACCACTACAGCTATAAGCTGTTTTAAAATTGCCGGACTCCTTGGAACACTTGAATCAAACCTATTTTACTTTTAAGGAGAACAAAAATTCATAGTACTCTAAAAGAAGCCTTTCAATAACATTGTATAACTTATAAGACTACAGTAACCATTTGATTGATTATGTGGTAATAGTAGAGCTATTAGTTTTACATCAGTGGTGGGGAAAGTTTTTGAAAGATTTTTTACAAATGAATTTAATGAAGTTTAATATTCTGTTGGATAGTCAATATGATTTCACTAGGAGAAAATCTTGCCTTACTAATCTTTTGGCATTGATTGAAGAGGTTAATGCTTATAAGTTGCATAAAAGAGGGGTAAGGTGTGGATTTGGTGTATCATGATTTTCAGAAAGCATTTGACAAGGTGCCACATAAAAGGCTTGTTAAGTAAATTATGTTTGTAGGTGTGGGGGAATAGGTTGGCTCATTGGATAGAAAATTGGCTGGATATATCTTGAGTATAAATGTGGTGGGAATAACTTTTAACAGTGTTATGGAAGAACAGGATATTGATGTTCTGGTTGATCAGAGTCTTAAGCCATCCAGGCAATGTTCTTTTGCTGGTGACAGGGCATATAGGATTTTAGGTTGTACCTACAGAAATATTTGGGTCTAAAGAAGTTATAATTTCATTGTACGTGTCAGTGGTAAAGCCATATTTGGGAAAGTGTTCAGTCTTGGGCTTTTTACCTTAGGAAGGACATTGAATTGTTGAGAAAGGTTCAGAGAAGTCTCACTAGGATGATGGAAAGGTTCAACCATACTTTTTACTATGATATAGATCCAGCTTGTCTCTCTTTGGTTAACTTGTGTTCAGGGTTACTGATGAGGAGTGGAATTCTCCAAAACTAGTATAACCCAAAAACACATGTTGAACTGAACCTCCTTGAACTTAGATTTCAAGATTAAACAGTTTTCCAAATACTAAGTTTATTTATTATGATGGAAAGGTTGTTATATGAGGACAGATTAAGATCTCTGAAATTATTATCTTTTGATAAAAAAAATAGAGTGGGGGGGGGGGTCTGATTGAGAAGTTTAATATTGTTAAGGGAATTGGTAGTGTTGATGCATAATTTTTCATACTCGATGGTTAGAATGGTAGAACTAGGGGACACAAATAAACGTTATATCAGAATAGGAGTCATCTTCAGCTAAGGTAGTTTTATTTCTCTAACAGGGTAGTTGGCACTTGAAACAGGATGCAGTAAATTTAGGGGAGTTTAAGGAAAGGCTTGATAAATATTTTAGTGATAAGGACTGGTTTTGAGTGTGTTTTTGTGAGTTTTGTTTAGTAGATAGGATGGTTTAGATCAGTGATTCTGGATGTGGGGCACACGCCCCACAGGGGGGCAATTTGAAAATGCTACAATAAGAAACATTTTTCATTTGGGCGTGAAGAGTGAAAAACATTCCGTGACTCAAAACTAAATTTCTAAATTTGACATTATATAATTATACCTTTTCAACACCAAATTTGTTTTTATGTCAAGGGGGCATCAAATTTTTTGAGGTGTCGAGGTAGGGCATGGAGCAAAAAAAGGTTAAAACCACTGGTCTAGATGGACCAGTAAGTCTCTTGTTGTCCTTAGAACTTATATTAATTTAGAATTAAGTTATTTTTTTATCCTAAACTATTATATATACATACACACACACACACACACACACACACACACACACACACACACACACACAAAAACTAACAACAGCAAATAACTATATAGTATATTACTTGTTGTGGTTCGGTTTCTATTATTTACTTTA